CTATGTGAAACGCATGAATAATTAACTGAGATTCTTGAATCGTCCGTATTCTTGATCTCATAAATTCGATATAACGAAACACACTTGACCGATTTCACTCGCGAAAAAGTGAATGACCGTAACAGTGTACACTTGATCCAGAAATTCGTCACGAGCTTACATAATTGCTGCGCGAACAATAAACAATGATTTTTCTCTGTTTGCGAACACGGTCTCTCGTTAACGTTACGTTCCTGTGGATTAAATATTTGTCGTTACTTTATTTTAAGATGCGCAAGGTTTCACGTGAAAGTGTTTGAAGACGCTGTTTCTGTTTAATTATGAATGCATGATTTTTGCGAGGAAACCTCGAATCAATATTCTGGAATTAATTATTCTGTATTTATGACACGCGTGATCGATATCACTGAATTTATTGACATTTTTTATTGGTGAAAGAGTGCTGAGAGAAAAATTATAAAAATCATAACTTAAAATTGTTAATAAAAATTGTAACTAAAAATCATAATTAAAAAGTGTAACTGAACGTCATAATTAAAAATCATAATAAAAAATCATAACTTAAAATTGTTAATAAAAATTGTAACTAAAAATCATAATTAAAAAGTGTAACTGAACGTCATAATTAAAAATCATAGTAAAAAATCATAATTTAAAATTGTTAATGAAAATCATAACTAAAAATCATAACTAAAAATCATAATTAAAAATCATAATTTTAAAATGCTAATAAAAATTGCAAATAAACATCATAATTAAAAATCATAGTTAAAAATCATAACTTAAAATTGTTAATAAAAATCATAGCTAAACATCATAATTAAAAATCATAATTTTAAAATGCTAATAAAAATTGCAAATAAACATCATAATTAAAAATCATAGTTAAAAATCATAACTTAAAATTGTTAATAAAAATCATAGCTAAACATCATAATTAAAATTCATATTTAAAAATCATAATTTAAAATTGTTAATGAAAATCGTAGTCAAAAATCATAATTAAAAATTATAATTAAGAATCATAGTTAAAACTTGTTAATAAATATTGTACGAAGAAAACCTGATCCTAAATTTTTCTGTAATAAAAATACAGTGAAATATCAACAGTTGGGACGAGTAAAGTTGAACAAGTTTAAATGAAATTTCCATCAGAAGAAATTCAACAAGTTTATATTAAATGTAGAAGAGAATTACAGAATTTTAATGAAATTTACATAGGTTTCCGTAAGGAAAACACAGCCAAATGTAGTAAGATAAAATAGAAACGGCGAATGAAAAAAGAATCGAAGGCAGTCAAGATAGAAGCGAAGGAACTCTCGGGGTAAATCTTTGCCAACTTGTTTCTTAACATTTTTCTCAAAGACTCGTAGGAAAAGGGAAACAAAAGCGTGGTATTTATAAAGAATCTTAACGAGTCTGTAATTAGTGTAATTACCGCTGGCACTAGGTACTTAAGAGCTTGCGTAGCCTTAATGCCTACGTCACTTGAAACGTTCTCCATAATTCCTTCTAATATATCCTGCCTAGGAAAAGGGGTGAAAAGAGGTGAAGTAAAAAAAAGGAGAGGAAGGGAAAAGAAAAAGAGGTGCCTTGGTCTGCCGGTGCAGTATCTAGATCGAAACTGTGAACGAGGGTCTTGCTCGACGATTGCCAACCAGAACGGATTACCTCTAATCTCTGACATTAACTCGTTCTCTACGTCCGCCATGCTTCGCACATTTCTATGGGAATATGTCTCAATTTACCGTATTTTTACGTGCCTTCATCTGTGATCGCGAAAGCATAAAGAATGGCCAAGTAAATCTTTGTATTACCATAAACGAGAATTTTTCGATGCCACCGATTAGTCAGTTAACGAGGGATGAAGCTTTTAAGGTGTTGTTAGAATTTTGTCAATTTTGTTTAAATCAATATTTTATGGATTTTAGGTAGATTTTACTGTAGATTTTAGACAATTTTCTGTTTAATTTGCAAATTAAATTAATGACTGACAATAAGTACACTTTAATGGAAGCTTGAGTAAAATGGTACGGAAGAAGTATAAATGATAATCAAGTTTGTTGAAATTTTATTCAAGCAATATTTTAATGATTACCTTTAATCTAACAGGTAATATAATGTTAAGATAGTCGAATAAAGTTGAAATGATAAATCAAGATTCAAGTTGTGTTTATGTGGCATTAAGATGATGCTCAACTGCTAACAAAATGGCACCTAAATGATACCTAAATGAAAATTGTATTTAAACGATAGTCAAATGCTGTTCAAATAGTTCTTAATTGGTACTCGAATGGTAATGTATAATACCACAAAAAATATTAGATAAATTAAAAGTTATCAAGCTACAGTTAGTATGACACTCCATAGCAACATTGTATTATATCGTTGTGAATGTTTGAATAAAAATGCAAATAAGACATTGTAATTAATTATTTTGCCCAGTTAGGTACTTCAATAAATAATTATTATATTACTTAACTATTTTATTAAATACATAACCTCAAATTCTTTCAATGAATTATTTTATCAAATCCATAACCTCAAATTCTTTCAATGAATTATTTTATTAAATGCATAACCTCAAATTATTTCAGTGAATTATTTCATTAAATTCATAACCTCAAATTATTGCAATGACTTATTTCATCAAATCTATAATCTTAAATTATTTCAATGAATTATATTATTAAATCCATAACCTTAAATTCTTTCAATGAATTATTTCATTAAATTCATTACCTCAAATTATTGCAATGACTTATTTCATCAAATCTATAATCTTAAATTATTTCAATGACTTATTTCATCAAATCCATAACCTCAAATTATTTCAATGAATTATTTCATCAAATCCATAACCTCAAATTATTTCAATGAATTATTTCATCAAATCCATAACCTCAAATTATTTCAATGAATTATTTCATCAAATCCATAACCTCAAATTATTTCAATGAATTATTTCATCAAATCCATAACCTCAAATTATTTCAATGACTTATTTCATCAAATTCATAACCCCAATTTATTTCAATGAATTATATCATCAAATCCATAACCTCAAATTATTTCAATGAATTATTTCATCAAATCCATAACCTCAAATTATTTCAATGAATTACTTCATCAAATTCATAACCTCAATTTATTTCAATGAATTACTTTATCAAATCCATAACTTAAAATTATTTTAATAAAACCATCATCAACAAGTATATTAAGAAAAAGTTGTAGCTACTCATTTCATAAATATCAAAAACAGTTCCAAATTATTTAAAAAAACTCTAATTCAATTCACAAATACCACACTAAAAAAAAGTTTACCCACACATTTCATGAATATTAATGAACACTCTCAAACTATTAAAAAGAAACTATTATTAAATTTACAAGTACCACATTAAAAAAAATTATACCCACACACTTCATAAATATTAACAGTCTCAAATTATAAAAAAAAATTTATTAAATTTACAAGTACATTAAAAAAATCATAGCAACCCATGAATATCAATGAACAGCTTATTTATAAAAAAAAAGAATTATTATTAAATGAACAAATTGGAGAAAGTTTCATTCCCAGATTTTATAATTTGAAGCTTGGGAAGTTAACATTTTTCAAATTTATCTCCGCTTTTAATTTAACGATAAAAACAGGGTTTTAACGTTGTACAGCTTGTTCCTCGAGGAGTTCATAATTGGCAATCGTAAAATAGGAATGAAATTGAGTAACATTTGCTTCTCGCTCTAAATCGACACGTGTTACCAAAAATCTGTCTAGCCGTTTTGGCTCCATCATAAATTCGAAACGAAAGAGTGTAGTCTTTTTATGTGTTCCACGTTTATATAACAAAACGACACACACAGATACAGATAGAGGAACCCTGCATTGCGAATATCTGATTATACACGTGTTACGTCGAATGCACGGAACTTTCTGTAGGTGGCCGATTTGCATAATTTAACGAAATGAATATCCCCTCTTTTTTATTTTCACTGGGAATCTTGTTCCTTTTAGAATATATTAGCATGATTGCGTATTGGAATTTATAGAACGACCGGCTGACAAGGGAATAAAATTTCACGTGTCTATTAATAAGGGAATAATATCGGGGATATCGTGCGAACGGATTTCTGAATTGATACAACGGAAATAACGCTATGAAATAGTTTATAAAAAGTTATGGCCTTCCGATCTTCCCGTGTTACTAAAATGCACCGGCTTTCTGTATTTCTAAATTTAACCTGTAACTAAATATATTACCTTCGTTACTTTTCGAATTAATGAATTTCATATTTTAATTAATTCATGCGGGTAAAATCTCAGGTTATAATTTTCGGAGAATTCTGGATAATTTAATGTTACAGATTCGTTTTGAAATTGCTACGTTATTATATTACTAATTTAATATTTATATTATTAATTCGTTCATTTTTGGTAATTTAGTTGATTTAATTATTTAGCGAGTTTTTATTCATGTTTAATTTATCTGACTGTAATTTTTAGAATTCTGTGAATTTTACAGGAATTTGCATTAATAAATTGGTAAAGAGAAATTATTAATTGAACGTACTAATTCACAGCTGCATTTCATTTTCATTCATTTTTATTTAATAAAGCTCTGAAAACAATGTTTAATAATTGTACAGAATTTAATAAAGTTGCAGCAAAAAAAATAAATATTATATTTTTGTTCTGTGAAGCTCTTACATATTTTTCAAAATAAATATATGTCATGTTATGATAAAAATATTCTATTATAATACTTATATATTATATTTCTATACATTGCAAATATATTATGATTGCTGTACTTATAATTAATTTTATAATATGATTCCATTATGTCAAAATTGATGTTCAGTCAAATAAAAAAGTAAACATTCATAAACGGTTTTCTCATCAATTGTTTTCACCTTGAATGAAAGGTCGCAGTTTTTCCAGCGCGATAAACTTTTTAACCTTTTTAGAACGAGGTTTTTTACGCGAGAAAAAAAAGTTTGGGAGATTTTGCATCTTCCTAGTGAAAGGAATTGCCATGTGACGTTGCTATATAAAAACCATCGAATCTTTCGTTTAAGCCACATTTCGACTCTAGTCCTTAACATACGTACACCATGAGAGCCTTCATAGTAAGTATGGATTCTTTCGTTGGGGTAATTCGAATGGTATCGGTGATTGAGTAGCTTATTTGTAGGATAAAAAGATGGTTTTATTAATTATTTCGAGAGTGAGAGTATGTAGTTGGAAGATCTTGATATGATACATGTGATTTGATAATAATAGTTGTTAGTTTGGTGACATTACTATTAATTACATCGCGTTCGTATTTTGGTATTTGAGGTTAGGAGATGAATTGCCACCTGTCTTGTTATACTATTATTATTATTTGGTGCAACTATACCACTGTTTTATTATTTTATCATTTTCTTGTTCTACTAGTTTATTATTTTACTATTTTACTTCTTTACTATTTTACTATTTCACCGCTTTACTATTTAACTATTTCACTTTTTCACTGTTTCACTATTTCACTATTTCACTATTTCACTGTTTCACTGTTTCACTATTTCACTATTTCACTATTTCACTATTTCACTATTTCACTCTTTCACTCTTTCACTATTTCACTCTTTCACTCTTTCACTATTTTACTATTTCACTATTTCACTATTTTACTATTTCACTATTTCACTATTTTACTAGTTTCTTACATTATCATTTCACCATTTTACAATTTTATTACTTTATATATTAACTATTTTACTATACTCTCATATCAATGTTTTACTATTTCTGCATGTGGCTACATTACTATTTCACTATTTCATTCTTTCATTCTACTATTTTATTATTCTACTATACTACTGCTAATATACTTTACTATTCTACTATTTTACTGTTTCATTATACTAATATTTTATTCTTCCACTAGTTTTACTATACAGCTATATATTTATATTACTATTCAATCATAATACTATTTTAGTGTTCTACTATTCCACTATATTATTATTTTAATATTTTGCTATTCTTATATGTTACTATCCTATTATTTTACTATATTTCCTCTTTACTATTTACTATTTACTATATTTAACTACACTATCATACTACTATTCTACTATTTCATTTCAATACTACTTTCTTGTTCCATTATATCATATTTCACTCCTCTGTTACGTTACAAATGCTTCTATTTCATTTATTCATACATAGTTATGTATAAATATATACATACATGCATACATATTTATATTTTACTATACAACTATACTATTCCACTCTATTCCTACTTCAATTTTACTATAGTTTCATGCTATACCATAATCCCATCATGTTTTGTATAGACTCTCATTCTAAGTTCCCATATGTTATAGCCCCATATCACATAAGAAACTACACACCTCACCGATTTCAGCAAACCGTAAACTTCATTTTCATATATCCCTCTATCTCATGTATTTCATACATTTTCATTTTTCTCTCTAAATATAACCGCCTCTGGGTCTTAGTTTTAGAAATATTCGCAAATATTTCAATTCAATTTACATTTTGATCGGAATATTCTACTAGTACACATACAATATCCACTATAATATCGATTGGTTTTTTAAAAAGTGTATCCTTGGTATGAATACACGTGTGCTATATTTTAATGCGACATTTTCTATAATCTCACATATTTGCTGTAACATCGTAATTATATTGATGAGGTATAAGTCAAATCACATATAGTTATATAATTTAGGTATATGATCAAATTACACATGGTCACACAAGTGAGGTACATGATCAAATTACACATAGTTATACAAGTGAAATACATGATCAAATTACACATGGTTACACGAGTGAGGTACATGATCAAATTACACATGGTCACACAAGTGAAATACTTAATGCGACATTTTCTATAATCTCACATATTTGCTGTAACATCGTAATTATATTGATGAGGTATAAGTCAAATCACACATGGTCACACAAGTGAGATACATGATCAAATTACACATGGTCACACAAGTGAGGTACGTGGTCAAATTACACATGGTCACACAAGTGAGATACATGATCAAATTACACATGGTCACATAAGTGAGGTACATGATCAAATTACACATGGTTACACAAGTGAGGTACGTGGTCAAATTACACATAGTTATACAAGTGAAATACATGATCAAATTACACATGGTTACACAAGTGAGGTACATGATCAAATTACACATGGTCACACAAGTGACGTACATGATTGAATTACATATAGTCACATGAATCAGGTACATGGTCAAACTACACATGGTCATATTAGCAAGGTATTTGGTCAAACTTTACATAATTACGTCAATAAAATACTTGGTTAAATCAAACAGATCGTTGACACATTTCAAGATCATTGAAGTTGACAAAGTTTAACTTCTTTATTAACAATAACCGCATCAAAAATATTTTTACACTCAAACGCTAAATCCAAATTATACATGTAAAATAGAAATTACTCAAAATGACGTTCTATGCAACACGTTTCAAGGTCATATAAGTCAATAAGACCCTCATAGGCCCTCAAGTTAATTGTACCTTACCAAATCTTGCAGGTTTCCCTCTTGCTGGTCTGCGTGATCGCAGCAAACGGCGAAGCACCCTCCAAGAATGTCGAAAAACGCGGTCTGCTGGGAGGCAGCGGCTACAGTTCTGGAGGTCTGCATGGAAGCGGCGGATACAGTTCTGGAGGTCTGCACGGAAGTGGCGGATACAGTTCTGGAGGTCTGCTGAGCGGCGGATACAGCGGTGGTCATGGAGTGAGTGGAAGTTACCTTCCACCTGTGCCGGTTAAGAAACCTTACGTGCCAGCTCCCACATACGGTGTCCCATCGTACACACCTTCCTTCCAGGTCCCATCCTACAGCTCTGGAGGCGACTTTGGTCATTCCGTTGGCCACGTTCCTTCTTATTCCGCACCCGTATCTGCACCGTTGCCGAGCTATGGTATCCCCAGCTACGCTCCAGCGTCCACTTATGGCGCCCCTGCTCCAGCGTTCCACCATTCCTCCCACGGTTTGGGATCCGGAAGTTATGGTGCACCAAGCCTAGAGTCGGTGCATTCTGTCGCCTTAGGTTCTTACCCCAGCAAGAGTTATGGCGTCCCTGCTCTGGCTCTTGGTGGTGGACTCTCTTTGGGTGTGCCCAGCAAATCTTATGGCGTTCCTGCAATTCATGGATCTGGATTCTCATCGGGTTTGTCCCTTGGACACGCTGCTCTCCCAAGCTCCACTTATGGTGCACCTAGCCATGGCGTACATGGATCTAGCTTGTCCGTTGCATCCGTAGGCTTACCAAGTGCTACTTATGGTGTACCTAGCCATGGATCTAGCTTGTCCGTTGGTCTTCCCAGCTCTAGTTATGGTGTACCTAGCCATGGAGGTTCTGATTTGTCACTTGGATCTGTTGGATCTGTTGGTCTTCCCAGCTCTACCTATGGTGTACCTAGTCATGGACATGGTTCTGACTTATCCGTTGGATCCGTTGGATCCGTTGGTCTCCCCAGTGTTTCTTACGGTGTACCTAGTACTGGTGGCCATGGTGGATCCGGTGACGGATACTCGTACCCCGTCCCATCGACTAAGTTGCTCGATTAAGTTATTGTTGGGAGGGTTAATTGAAATTTAGGTAATTTCTTCATTTTTTTATGGAAGTTGTTGCGAAATTGACTGTACTTGAAACACGAAAACCAGTGTAAATAAGAACTGAGATTGTAGGAAGTTTTTGTATGTAAATAAAAAAATTATTACCAATATTTATGTTGTTTTTATTTTTTGTACTTGATATCGATTAATAAAATAATTAATGATATATTAATCTCTTATATTCGTTATATTTAATTATATTGATGTTGTCATATAATATCATATGGTACATATTTAATTATACTATAATAATTAAACATTAATCATGCAGCTACAATTTAAAAACTAATCATTCAATGATTAGATTTAATATAATGATATTGTATAATTATTAACAATTACTGTTATAGAGTCTTGAATGACATCAGTAAAACGTCATTAACTAAAGACAATTAGATTTTATAAAAAATCAAAATCATAGATAATTGATTACCTACAATTGAATTTCTAAATAATTTTTATCGAAAGTACTTGAAATTTCGTGCAATTGAAACTGCGGATAAATTGTAAACGTAAACAATTGAAACCCTGGATAAATGGAACAAAACAGAATTGTATTCCATAAACAAACAACCACAACCGATTACCAATAATTGAATCCATCTACTAAAGCAATAAAAAAACTTTATTATCGAGAACAGGTGTTGAAAAAAAATTTCAACCGTGCCAATTAACGCGTAAAAAAGAAGCGATAAAATTTAAAAAACTTCGCCGAGAAATAAAATATTTGATCGGCAATATCTCGATAATAAAAAGAGCGAGAAACGAACGCGAAAGTGGTTGAAAGTTTTAATAGAGTTTGAAGTAAGCAACGTACATATGTGTCAGATACGTCAGTAGGTGGCATTTCAAGTCACCCCTAGTTCGCCATCCCCGTTTTCTTCGCAACCACCCTTCGTTTCCCACTAGAAAGCCCCGGGTTGTGTACTTTTTCAGTTGCCTACCGCTATCTTCGTAATAGTATCTGTAAACGTAGAAAACGTACATACGTATGTACCCCACGCTTATTTCACGATTCTTCGCGAGCAACTTTACGAATGCTTTTATTCGCATATGTACATGCACATACATAAATTCGGCTATAAACGTACACGTTTAACTATATTTGTCCACGAACATTTCTGTATACTTATTGCCAAAAGAACAAGCAGTCAGCCATTATTTTACGACCACGTCCTTCCACTGACCTAAGCGTTTCCGCCTACGAATATCTTTTATGCAACCCCTGTCGGATATACAGCGTATTTCGCGTTTTGCACACTAATATGGGTACATTTCCTGTGGTTAAGGATAGAGGTATTCGATCATTTGTCTTTTATGGTGAGAGGCAAGTTGGTGGAATTGAAAACGTGTGAACTTTTCAATTTTACAATTTTTGAATTCGTCAATTTTTCAATTCTTCAATTTTCCAATCTTTCAAGTTTTCAAACTTTCAATTTTACAATCTTTCAATTTTACAATCTTTCAAGTTTTCAATCTTTCAATTTTCCAATCTTTCAAATTTTCAATCTTTCAATTTTCCAATCTTTCAATTCTCCAATCTTTCAAGTTTTCAATCTTTCAACTGTCCAATCTTTCAAGTTTTCAATCTTTCAATTTTCCAATCTTTCAATTCTCCAATCTTTCAAGTTTTCAATTTTTCAATTTTCCAATCTTTCAAATTTTCAATCTTTCAATTATCCAATCTTTCAAGTTCTCAATCTTTCAATTTTCCAATCTTTCAATTCTCCAATCTTTCAAGTTTTCAATCTTTCAATTTTCCAATCTTTCAAATTTTCAATCTTACAATTTTTCAATCTTCCAATTTTCCAATCTTTCAAGTTTTCGATCTTTCAATTTTCCAATTTTTCAATTTTTCAAGTTTTCAATCTTTTAATTCTTCAATTTCTCAATTCTTCAATTTCTCAGTTTCTCAATTTCTCAATTTCTCAATTTCTCAATTTCTCAATTCTTCAATTCTTCAATTCTTCAATTCTTCAATTCTTCAATTCTTCGATATTTCAATTTCTCATTTGTCATAGTGTTTTAACTTTTTCATTCTTGAACTCTCCAAATCTCTAACTATTTAATGTAACAGATGTACATATCCAACTATATAATTTAATACCATCTGTTCAAAACAATAAAAAAAATTAAAATTCTTTATGTATTACCTTTCAGCATACAAAATACCACCTCTATCATTTCATGCATATTATTATTTAATTTATTTCTGTACTATCAGCAAAAAGTAAGGCCAGTGAAATAAATACACTATTTGAACACAGTACAAAACATGTAATACGCAAGAGTGCTTCGATGGTCACAATAAGGCAGCAATTTTCCTCTTGCCTGATGTTGTTTAAACACTGAGGGTGCTAATGATGCTTTGGAATCTGCGTAATTAAGCAGGGGTCTTGCGAACAAATTTATACCACCTCTAAATCCTCCACCGTAGATGAATGTTTACGGATACCTTCTATATTGTATGCATTTCAAGTTGCCAATTTCTCTTGCTGTCAGAATGATAATATCATTCCGTTGTTATTTAATGCACCTGTTTGGCACTCGAAATGCACCAAACGACATTCCATATATCCCAGTTGACGCGAAGCATAATTCTGAAGCGTGCGTAAGAACATGGTAGGTTCCTTTGAACAAAATGGCGCAGCTGGGAAAAAAAAATTATGGTATTCTTCTTTTTATTACGTAGACATTAAAATATGGGAATTTGACAAATTTCAAGTTGTTGAGTTCTGAAATTTGTGAGTTTTTGAGGTTAGAATTTTTTATTAGAATAAAATCTAATAAATTTTATTAGATAAAAAATTCTTATTAAAGTTTAGAACATAGAAGTTAAACGTTCATGTTATAGAATTATGACAAATCTCATCCAATGACTTTAAATTTTGTAAAATGATTTAGGTATTCAAAGGATTTCTCAAACTGTGGATTTCTGCATATTCCTGAGAAAACGTCATCCATCAACATTTGCACGAAAAGATTAATCCTCGCCCACCCACCAAACCTAACAAATAATTCGTGCAAGCAACAATAATAAATACAAGCTACAATTCAACGTCAGAGGATTGCAGGATTTGGGGCAGAAGTTAAATGTAGCCGAAGGAAGCAGAAAAATAGTAACGATAACGAGCGTAATCTGAAACGGCGGACTGTATACCGTAAAGTGTTAATGACACGAAATGAAACGATCCGTCTGAGACCAGTAAATCAACCTCCTGGCGAAATGCACTAACCGTCCAGCCATTTAATTGCAACAACGTAACGAACGCCGTGACGAGAAACCATCTGGCTCGTCTCTGTACATCTACATTTTTGCTTCAACTTTATATCGGCAGTTAACGCGGATGATATACTGGTATAACGTTTATACAACGATGCCCACTAGCTTTTTGTAAGCGACTACTGGCTTAAGCTTCTTTTAGTCGCTCAACTTTTATGTCGGCCGACCAGCAGGCTATTTATGACCGCCATTTCTGTAGCATCGTTGAACCCGTTATTCCTTGCTCACTGTCCGGCAAATCGCTGGTTAATGGCGGCTGCTCTGACATATTTGTCTTTTGATTGGAACTATGGCAAATTTAACGGTGGTCTAGCGCAACACGTATAAATACAGTACAAATGAATTATATATTATTCTTGATACTGCTGATATTTCTGAATTATATATTATTCTTGATACTGCTGATATTTCCTATAAACACCCGGGCAGTACTCACAGTTCTCGTAACTGAGATTTCATCCATGTTTGAGTTGACGAAACATTGCAAAATAATATTCACAACGACAAATGTAGCAATATTTATCCTCTGACGAATGTTATTGTTCATGTAAATATTCTACAGGTAGTCCATACAGTAAAAACGAAGAGGAGTAAAATAATTCGAGTGATCTTCAAAGTGACTGTATGAAGTTTAACACGAGATACATATAAAACAACTGAATAACTGTTCACTCTGCTATAGCTCCTTGACGAATGACTTCATCCCGGTTTTCTCCGGATCTTGGCGTCCAGGGAAAACGCCATAAAACTGCAGGTCAGTTTCGTTTGCTGCACCCTTTCTGGCTGCTGTGACATTTGCGTGAGTGTATATGCAGATGTGTGTAAATCGTTGTAATTTCCAACATTAAATAGTAAAAGGAAGTTTTGCGTGTCTGTTGTTTTAGCGGACGTTGAAAGGGTGTGGGCGATGCGTAGCGTGAACAGTGTTGGATGACCAACATAATGATGCGACACGGACCAGTATATCGGAATCGATGTATCCAAAATAAAGTCAGCTTTGTTTTCGCATTTGTTGTCTAAGTTTAAAAAGACTGGAGAAAGTTTGCGGAGACAGTAATGCCTCATGTAGGACTGGTTGGTGATCAAGTGGTGATAGTCGCCTGTTTCACTATGGAAGCAAATCTGTAACGCTGGTTGCAGGACTGTAGGCGTCAAAATATACTAGGGTATACAAACTTAATTCTTTGTTATATTGATGGTTAACAAGACTTAAGCAACATGGGCAAAATTAATTTTATGAAAGAAAACCATATTACTTTGTTACTTCTTATAAATAGCTTTTGTAAATTTCTGTAATAATTACATATGCGATGGAACTTTTATTAATTATCTAATGAAATATACTCTTAAGCAATTTGTAATATTTTGTCATTTATAATTATGATATTTTAAAATTTTGCTTGATAACGAAATGCTATTTATTTTGTGCAAAATAAATTATTAAATACATTTATCTTTTTAGTATAACAATTGTTTATAAAAGTTTTATATTGTTACAACCATAAGAGTTGACGTTACACTATTTTTTTTATCTATTTTGAGAAGATTTTGATCAAAATCGAAGTACCATTTTATGAAGTTGCCTTTTTTACCGACTGAAGACAATATCGACTGTTTCCCATTTTTCCGACAGTATCGAAATAAAAGAAAAAATTTCTTATTCTGAAATTCCTTCTAAAATAATATAACACTGATCTTTAATAAACATCGTGTCACTAATTTAATAAAAATTAAAAATCGTAAAATTTATAAAAATAATAATAAGTGATGAAATTTACAAAAATGCAAATCTTGATAATATTGGAAGAAAAATAATAAATATTTTAATATTAAATTGAAAAAACTCATAGAGAACTAACAAACAGTGAATTTATAAGTGGAGAATTAATTACATTACTTGTTGAATTCCTCACAAATTGAATTCCTGAATTTAGGTCAACAACTGTGTCATAATTAAAATCATAGCGATAATCATACAAAATTTTAAAAGAAATATTGTAATATAAAATATTTTATAACAAAATATCCCATAATTAATTTTGATAATCTTTATTTTTTTCTGTCCTTTTACATTAAAATAAAAGTGAATTAGAGAAACAAATAAATTTAACAAAGTAAAAAATTATTTCTTGAACAGAATGAAGTACTTGCCTGTATCTCACCACTTAACAATAGTCTATCTCCCTGTAATACAATTCAAACTATCGTACAATACCCGCATAAGCATTTGTTCACATCACGTTTCATTATTCCACCGATTAGAGATAAAACATTAACCAGATTCTATGGGGACCACATTTCATCCTAGTTCGTATTCATTGATTACTCGCAGTCAGAGCTCATCCTTTATCATGCCCACCAGACAATTATACCGATGCACGAACTTAATGTATTATTCAAACGAAAACTTCAGGCTAATTCGAAGATGTTAAGTAATATTATTCCAATTGTAAGAAGGGTTGTGTTCAGACGGCGACACAAATCGTTCCTATTTCATAGATAAGCATTTCAATTTCATAATTTTACTGTTAGGGTTAGAACGGTGTCTGTCTATCTGTTTAGGTATGTTTCTGAAAGGACACGGGTTTTTCTTTTGTATGAGAGTTATTACTTTAGTGTTTCTCTGTTTGATGGTTTGATTATTTGATTACTTTAGTATTTTAGTATTTTCATACTTTATTTGATGGTTTATGCCATTTTTAATGCTTTAGTGGTTTATTATTTTATTATTTTGATATTTTATGCTTGACTAGTTTATTATTTTAGTACTGTTCTATTTTGGTATTTTGGTACTTTAGTATTTTGCTATTTTGCTATTTTACTATTTTGCTATTTTACTATTTTACTATTTTAGCATTTTACCATTTCACCATTTCACCATTTCACCATTTCACCATTTCACCATTTCACCATTTCACCATTTCACCATTTCACTATTTCACTATTTCACTATTTTACTATTTTACTATTTTACTGTTTTACTATTTCACTGCTTTACTATTTCACTATTTTACTATTTCACTATTTTACTATTTCACTGTTTTACTATTTCACTATTTTACTATTTTATTATTTCGCGATTTTGCTATTTTACTATTTCACTATTTTACTACTTTACTAATTCACCATTTGATTAATTTACTATTTCAATATTTTATCTTCTCATTTTTTCACTATTTTATTAGTCTAACATTTTATTATTCAACTGCTACATTTTTTCTCTGTTTAACTATATTACTATTTTATTATTATATTATTCTATTATTTTGCCACTTCGCTACTTTCATTATTTCTAAAATTATTTGAACAGTTAATATGTATATCACTTTACTAGAATGTGTAACATATGGACTTACCATACATCTCTATATTACATAATACATTACACATGTGGAACATATATTATGTTATATTATTATATTATTTAATACGTTAAATAAATTGAATACTATTATATCATATTATAATTTATCTTCACATATATTCATATACCATGTAATACATTACACATATGTAACATACATTATATCACATTATTATATTATTTAATATATTAAATAAATCGTATACTATTATATTATACCACTATATCATGCACGATACATACATTAATTATACATCATATTATATTTTTATATTATGTAACATATTGCATAAGTGAATACTATTACATGTATTACATTATCATCTAAATTATATAAATTGAACATGCTTGTATTACATAAACTGAATAGTAATTAACTATATACAATATTATATAAATAAATATTAACATATTCCATATACAATGAAACCCAAACATCATGAATTTCTCACGTTTTCACCGAATATAATTAATATTCGCTAATTAAATAACTCTAAAGCGATAGTACGTCCAAATATTTACGCGGGTAATCGGAATTAGATGTTCTCTTTTAGGTATTTCAATAATAATATTTATACGAGAAAATGACGAAGGACGAACGTACAGAAATATCCGGCGAATTAACGTTGGTATTTATCTGTGTAAGAATGGAATTAATTGGTTGGTCCGTGTGTGGATGTCGTTGTATTGCCATGACGGCAAAGTAGGGAGTGACAAGTAGCTCTCAATAACGTGATATGACATCGCGTGCCATGGACACGAAGGACCCCCTCGATGCATGCTCTCGCTATTTCCTCGCTTTGGTCGAGTAATTTGCTTTTAAACTGGGCATGAGATTGAAAGACGAGTCACCTGTCAATATATTAACTCGTTGCTGCAATACGGGAAATTACTACCAGCGCAGACAATGAATTTTGCTTCCTCTGATAACTTTCCTATCTCTATTACACAATACTGATATCGTTCTAATCAATCAACCTTCAAACTAATTCCTATGATCAATAATTCCATCCCTGATCAAGAAAATTATTTCTCTTGACATACTTTGACTCTGATTCACTACGCACTTATTTAAGTACTTATTGTTTAAGTGGATACTGTTTACTTAAATTTTTAGTATTCAACTTGAAGTTTGAGTTTAATAATTTATATGAAGGTCCACGGAATTTCTTTTTTTATTCAATTTTATTTAAGTATTGTTGTAATGAGTACCGAATGACGCCATGTTTACTTAAATTTTTAGTATGCTTCAACTTGAAGTTTGAGTTTAATAGTTTATATGAAGGTTCACAGAATTTCTTTTTTTATTCAATTTTAAGTACTGTAGTAGTGAGTTAGCATCGAATGACGCCATGGCAAATAAATTCTACGCCACGGGATTAAATACGCGACACCAAATGCGAAACTTGTGTTCGTACTCGTATCTTATTTTGTTCAGAGTATGTCTTTGCTTTCGGTTTAAATAATAGAAATGATATATGTGGTTGTTTAAATTTATTTTTTGTACTTGTGTATACATCTTCTTTATTAAAAATTAAATTATTATAAATATACGAATAAAAGGAAGAATTATAAATTTTAATAAATATGTTATTGTCAAGAGTTATTTAATCTGCTAATTTAATAATTAAATGAAATTCTGTAATTTTCAGTGATGTAACGTTACAAATAAATTAATATTTACTTCTGTAATTATTTATTTTATTAATAATTAATCGTAAACATTTGAATAAATAATAAAGACCAAATTTCAAATATCTGAGAGTTCTACATTTCCATATTCAAAAATTGACAAATTTTCAAACTTACAACTGTTCATTGAAATTTTTAACTTTTTAAATTTTCAGACTTTTATATTCTCAGATCTCCAAATTTTCAAATCATCAAGGTTCCATATCTCAAAACTCTAAAATCTCTAAATTTTTAAATTTTTAACTTTTTAAATTCTTAGACTTTTATATTCTCAGATCTCCAAATTTTCAAATCATGAAGGTTCCATATCTCAAAACTCTAAAATTTCTAAATTTTTAAATTTTTAAATTTGCAAACACAAAAATCTTCAAACCATCAAATCTTCAATCCCTCAAATCTTTAAACCTTCAAATTTGATATTTTATACAATTCCAAACCTCCAATTCCAAAACCTACAAACTTATTTTTCTTCTCTCCGCAAATATCCGTAATCCTAAGTCCACATAAAATTTTCCCGGGGTAAGTCAAATTTCCGTACTAAACTTACCAACCCAAATAAAAATTCTCTCCAACCAAAAATCCACCCGCAATAAACTCAACAACCCAATCCAAGAATAAAAATTTCAAATAGATTAAAACAGTCAATACAATTATAATGATCAGCATCATTATAAATATGGTACAAAACAAATATGGTACATAAGTGACTTAGCAAGTATAATCAGCAAACATAAAAAGAACCTCACAAATTAAAATAAAAAAGATTGCAATGAAAATTCATAAAGTGCTACAAATTGTTCTAAATAGTGTAGAAGTATTTATTGCAAAGTATTTGACAAGAAATTTTCTTTATCGCAACATGTACAAACGAAGGAGAACGATTCTCCCATGGTAGCTTTCTCACGTTGAACTCACGAAGAACGATCACATCAGAAGAAAGAGAAAACGAAGGACAGGACTGTTGCATCCTGGCGGCGCAGGAGCGCATCAACAGGATGTCGCTGGACCAACTTGCTTCTACCACTTCTAGTGGGGATGGCAGGGTAGTGGGGGGTTAAAACCGGCGATGTAGTGGGAGGCGAGCGGGGAGGGAACGTGTAGAGCTCCCTCTGGCGAATATCTCGTGTCAGTCGAGCCGTGTATCGCGTAGCGGTAGTGTCGTGCTGTAGTGTCGTGTATCTCGTCGAGCACCGATAACGCTTATACCTTCCGCGATTAGTGAGTTCAGTGAAAAAAAAAGAAGAAATAGTCCGAATGATGTTATCGAGGCAGTGAACGATCGAAGTTTCAAACGGAGCAACGTTTCTCGCCGAACCGCGTGCTTCTTCGCCGGTGTCGGTCTCTCCTCTTTCGGAGCATTTTCAAGGTTACGCTTTGGCTGCCAGCACGAACGATCCGGGGGACCCTCGGCTGCCCATTTTCTTCGACTCCGAACGGAGCTTCGTTACCTTGCCGTGAAACGCAACGGACCGAGTCCAGGATTACAGTGTTCGGAGCCGTGTTTGGAATGTTTACGTCCACAAAGGACCTAGCGACGGAAACATAGTGAGCCTGCGGTGTGTACACAGTGAGAAATTCTTTCGTTTGTAGTTGTGATCGAATGGCAACATATTCGGAGAGGGTGGGTTTAGCGTACGTTCGATCGTGACACGTGCACATTGGATCGGTTCAGGGTATCGGAGCTGGGACACGGAGTAGATCTGGTGGGTACGTACAGTGCCACGGACAACGCGGATTTTTTATCTTCAAAAATTTTCAACCAGTTGTTCCGACCTAGGCACCTGTTAATCCGGGGAAATTGGCATTTTCCGGAACTCGCATAGGCCGGTGTTTTTGAACCTCTTTGTAACAGTATGTCAAAGGCCATCGATGTGACCTCTACTGAAAGTTTCACTGGGAGTCGATGTTCGACGTAATCGGTTATTTCAAAATGTTTCGATATTTATTGGTTCTACACAAACGGGGCCATTACGAAATTTATGCGTTGGGAAATTGTCTACAAAAAAGGTTCTGTAAGGTTTTTTTTTAGGAGCAACTGTTTCTGAGATATCGCGTAAAGTTACGATGACAATTATCACCATGCACTTAATTGATCAGAAATAAAATTGTCAGTTATTCACGAATATCTCTTTAGTTATCAATTCTATGATAAAAATACTTAAAATAAAATTTTTAGCTTGAGAAATTATCTGTGAAAAAGGTTCTATAAGTTTCTCTTATAGAACCTACCGTTTCTGAAATATCGCGTGAAGTTGCAACTAATTCGTGTATCTAGTTCTGGAGGATTAGAAATAAAGAAATCAATTATTTGCAAATATCTCGTTAGCTATCAATTCTATGACAAACATACTTATAATAAAATTTGTAGTCTAGAAAATTGTCTATAAAAAAGGTTCTATACGATTTTTTCATAGGAGTAACAATTTCTAGAATATCGCGTCAAGTTGCAACGGATGATAATTGTCATCGTGTACCTATTTCTGATGGATGATAACTAAACAAATCAGTCATTTGCGAATATCTCGTTGGCAGTCAATTCTACGACAAAAGTAGTTATTATAAAATTTGTAGCTTCAGAAATTACCTATAAAAAAGATTCTATAAGACTTTTTCATAAGCTTAACCATTTCGGAGATATCGTATAAATTGATAACATACCAGAATACATTTAATTCTACGAATCGAGGGTAAGGAGGAGCAGTTATTCGCGATTATCACATTATTTATCAGTTCTACACTAAAAATGATTATTATAAAATTTATAGCTTAGGGAATTATCTATAAAAAAGATTCTACAAGCTTTTCTCGTAGAAATAAGCGGTTCTAAGATATCGTACGAATTTTCGATCGGTAATAGTCATGCGCTTAATCCTCAATAAAAATGAAACATCAGTTATTCGCAAATATCTCGTTATCTATTACTTCTATGATAAAAGTACTTATTACAAAATTTGTACCGCGGAAAATTCTCTACAAAAAAGGTCCTATATACCCATTTCATTCGAGTAACTAGTTTTGCGATATCACGTGAATTTATAACTGGTGATAATTATGCACCTCACTTGCAACAGGATTAAAGGTCAACAATATCAGTAATACACGAATATCTTGCCGTGGATCGGTTCTACGGTAAAAACAGCTATTACAACATTTGTAGCTGAAGAAATTCTCTACGAAAAAGATTATACAAGTTTTTTCGTAGGAGTAACCATATTCATAAATGGTACCTTTGAAGTCTTCGACCTTCATAGTGCACTCTTTTTCACATTAACGTAATGGTATAGTACTGAACGCGTTTTTGTAAACGTAGTATCTGCGGTAGGTCGGATGCACCATGTTTTCATACTAGCAATAAAAAAATTTCCCCTCAAGACCTTCGGTTAGTTCAATACCATTTCTGCAATCAAGCCCAAGAAATTGACAACATTTACATCTTCATTAACTCTCCATTGCTTTCCGCATCCATTGCTTTTCATTTAACTACCCGGATTGCTTTTCATTTAACTGACCGCATACGATTGGCTGTATCGAGACAAGGCTGAACATGACAAGAACTACACGCTGCTGAATAATGCAAGCCAATTTTCCTACAGCCACACCTTGGTCCACAACCTTTAGACAAGTTACAAAAAATTGCATTCAGCAAAGTGTCTGGAACACCTAGCCAGAGAGTTATGATCGATTCTAAAATGTCATTCTTCATCATTGATCTCCAATCGTCACGGTTCAATGCACAATTATTAATAGTTGCAAATTCGCATTCCAGAAAATTATTCTCTACTGTGATTATCTTATTATCTCAGAAACGGTAACTCCTATGAAGAAAGATTATTAAACCTTTTTTGTAGAGAATTTCTTAAGCTACAAGTTTCATAATAATCATTTTCTTCGTAGGTGTAATGTATAAGGAGATATTAGCGAAAAACTGGGTTTTTCTTAGCTTTGATGTAAAATTTTTTGTAGCGGACATATTGATGGGTTTTGTTTTATATATAAAGGATGAAATAAAAATTTAAGAATACAAGTGAAAAAATGGCCTATGATTTAGTGTAATGATAGTTTATAAAATTGAGAAAGATGTGTTTAAGCCTAGGATAACAGGTGCAAGGATCACGTATGTGAATGTGTAATATTACACTATTAGGTCTGATAACCAATTGTACTTAATTTATATCGATACCCTTATGTGACGTGTGCCTTAACCCTTATGTCAATACCCACAGCTACCCGCCCTATTTAACACTCGGGTGTAACTTTTAAACCTAACCTAACCCATTTACTTTGTTAATAATTTTTCGTTTTCATTTGCTCCAATTATTATCTGATTAATTCTGTAACAAAATCTTGAAATTTGTGAACAAACTTTAGCTACAGAGAAATAATTATTATGTAACGAATAATAATTTGAACACGATTAGTTCATTTGATTAAATTAACATTTATGACATTTAGAGTATTTGCATATTCATTTTACGTTATTTCATCGCATTTCATACACACATTTATTATATATTTAATTATTCCCATTGAAATTTATTTATTCAAGTTTAAAACGAAGTTAAATTATATTTGAAGTTTACACGCAATTAGAGACATTTGACCGGTGAAATTATGAGTCAATTCGGTGTTTAATCAAAAATAAACAGACCGAAATGACAAATCTATGGATGATGATAAATTCGGTTTAAAATTAAACAAAAATAAACTTGATCGATAAAATTATTTTGTAGATTAGAGTCGATACGGTTTTAAGGTCAAATAAGAGTAAATAGAGTTAAATGATAAAAGTCGTATCTTAATCACTCCAATTGATCTTAATGATATTTTAACGATGTCACTGATATATCTTTAAGTATCGTTAATTCATACATACTTAACATTGGCATTCTTGATTCAGATCTGCACTTTGGATCGATCGTTGTAGACTTGAATATATTGAGACAAGTTCTTATTTTAAAATAGTTAGAAAAACTTTATGATAGATATTTTTTTAATATACTGAACAGTGATGTTAGATCATTTTTATCGAGTCACATTTTTTTTTATAATTTTTCATACCTTCTTATTTTTAATTTTTTTTAAATTTATTTTGTATTGGGAAATTTTTTGGTTAATATGGTTGTATGGTATTTACGTTACATGCTGTAACACATTTTTATGGTATAGTATGTGTTCAGTATTAACTTCATACTAAACTTCATACTCTATTCACTTCATACGTAACTACACATACTACGTCATCAACTTCATTTTATTACACTGTCGACATATACTATATTAACATATATGCATGTATGCGACATATACTATAATAATGCATACATAACATAACGTTGCACACATATTATGTCATGAGCCTCATACACGTACCATTGGCTTCAAAGCATAGTACTTCATAAAAACCAACAACTCCATGTACCACACTATTAGCTCCATATGCCCCATACATACCAAACCACCATTCCGACATCACAATCCTCCATGATCCCATCAATTCCGTAACTAACGTGCCATCCATACCAGAATGTACCATACCATCTATGCGTATTATACTAATTCCATAGATACAATACTATTAATTCTATACCTAGCCTATACGTATCAAATCATTAATCCTACAACATAAGTGGTCCATAAATACCATCTACTTCATACATGTGCTATCAAGGCTATAATGTTCTACATTGTACTATCAACTTCATATGAATCACACTATCAACTACATATCATTATAAATACCGTACTAACAAGATCGTAGTGGTCCACAGATATCAAATATACCATATGTGTTTCATATGTGTCATGTCATCAAGTCAATACTGTAATGTTTCACATTGTATCAGCTTCATATGAATCACACTATCAACTGCATACCATAATGAATACCATACTAATAAGATCGTAGTGGTCCACAGATATCAACTATACCATATGTGCTTCATATGTGTCATATCATCAAGCCCATACTATAATTTTCCACATCGTATCAGCTTCATATGAATCACACATATGAACTGCATAACTTAATAAATACCATACTAATAAGATCGTAGTGGTCCACAGATATCAACTATACCATATGTGCTTCATATGTGTCATATCATCAAGCCCATACTATAATTTTCCACATCGTATCAGCTTCATATGAATCACACTTATCAACTGCATACCTTAATAAATACCATACTAATAAGATCGTAGTGGTCCACAGATATCAACTATACCAAGTTTCACATGTGTCATATCATCAAGTCCATTCTATAATTTTACACATACGTGATATCAATTCCATACTTCAATGTCCTATATCAATATTGTTCCATACATGCCACTATTGACTGCGAACATCATTAACACCATACCATAACGTTCTACACACTGTACCCTAACGATGCATACCATCAATTCCATACCATAATTGTGCACACCATATCCGGAAAGTTAGATATTTCCATACATACCATCACCTCCCTATCGTACGCACTACACGTTTTGTTACCATCAGCTCCATACTATAATTGTATATCACTATTCTATATCACGAGAGCTGAATATCTCCATACATACCATCACCATACCATAATCGTGCGTACATACCATACCGTATTTCGTACATACCATAACGGTGCCCCCCGTACGACGCGCGTAGACGACGGGTGTTGACATAAGGGTTAGTATCAATGTCCAGTTATGAAATAAAAAAGCCGTATCTTTACCCATCAGCGCAGACGAGCGTCGGCGATTTTCTCGAAAACGAAGATCGTATCTCTGGCTCGTAATGAGCCAGAGCGTCGCACGTTGAAGATCGAAACGTGACCGGTGGCGTACTTCCGGCATCGTCGATCCCGAAGAAGCCGATCCCGAGGTGGCGGCCATTTACGAATATTACACGTGACTCGGTGCTCGCGAAAGATCCAGCGCATTCTTTCGGAGATGTCACGGCGGAGACAGAGCGCTTAGAGGGAAAAGGACAGATCGAGACCGGATCGTCAGGAGGAGGAGGAATACACGTGAACGAGAAGAGGGCGATAAAGCCCTCGGCGCGTTCACAAAACCGACTAACAATGACGATGGCTAGCAACATAGTGGTCGAGTGGTTGCGCTCCCTTCATCTGGGCCAGTATTCCGAGTCTTTCATCGACAATGGCTACGACGACCTTGAGATCTGCAAACAGATCGGTGATCCAGATCTCGACGCGATCGGTGTGTTCAATCAGACCCACCGTGCACGGCTGCTGCAATCGGTGAAGACGCTCAGGGAGGAGGGCGCTGCCAGCGTTTATTTCACGCTCGAGGAGAGCAACGATTGTCTCTGCGATAATATTAGCTCGAAATCCTCGAGGACATCGTCGGAAAGGCCTCTCAGCGATAAAGAAGCACAGAGAGCTTCGCCTACCGCAAGCTCCTCCAGCGGGGGACAGGAATTAACCAAGTTCGCGGACGAATACGAAGAGGGCAAAGCGGAGCTTGTCAGAATACCGAAGATGCAACTCAGAATGCTGCTGCAGGAGAAACTTAGGCACGATGGCATCAGGCTAGCCTGTCAGCCTTATACCACACCGGTGAGTCATCTTGTTTCTTGCTCTAGCTCCAGTTATTCCTTTCACTAATAGACTATAGTTCACCGCGAACTTGATGTACTACTTTCTCCTGATTTTTATCTCGCTTCTTTCGATCGCTTTGTTATGACCTTTCGTATTGTGACAGGACCTTGAGGACTTCTGTCGTCAAACTTCTTAAGTGTCAAGTATTTCTGAAATTATTAACTATGTTTGACATGTTAGGAATTTCTCAAAGTATTAACTCTAGGATTTGTAAGTTTGTAAACGTTTGAAGTTACAAATTTGCAATTTCGTTTAAAAGTAATCCTTAATCGCCATTTTGAATGTCACACCTTTAACTTTGACTTTTAACATTCATGTAATGATTTGCAATTTAAATGATTTTAATTTAAATATGAAAGTTCTGTGCAAATTCTTTGAATTCTTGCAAAGTCTGTATAATTGTAAAATAATTATTTAAAGTAATCTATCGAACATGATTTATCAAACATATTGACCTAGTACACATGAGTAAATACGTCAGTAGTGTACATAAGTAACCATAAGTCAAGGGTTGAAAAAGTACTTTCATACATAACTTAACAACCAAAAACGTTACAAAAATTCATTGTTTTATTATTTTAAATAAAATATCATAACTATTGAATAGAGATGTTTTCTTTTAGTAAGTAATTCAATATGGAAGCAGCCATAAACGCCGCGATGATCAACGTCAAGTCAGTGACTTTGACAAATCGTTTTTTTATCTCATCTGGTAGTTCATTTCTATGAAGTATGTCGTGTAACTTAAGCTTCTCTTAGTTAAAAGGAAGTGTTCTACCGTGCAGAAGGTTGCCCGTGTCCTTTATGTGCGTAGACTGCAGGTTCTACTTAGATTAGTTTCTCCCTGGGTTCTTCCAACGCTGAAAACGGGTGGTGGAAGATTTCTCCCTTACAATTGCTCTTAATAAAGAGAATTCTACTTACATTGTCCCGTACATTAATGAAATTTCTCAAATATCCTCCGTTTAGTATAATGGCATGTATACAAACGCGGGGCCCTTCATTTAAGTATGCACGCGTAATATTTTTGTAATTATGAAAATGCAGCAAGTTTTCGTATGCAATTTTAGTTTTATTAAATTTTTGTGGTCATATGCGATTTTTGTTCTGTTAATATTTATTAGATATTTATTATTGAATACAAATAAAATTGTGTTTGTATTTTGATAATTAGAAAAATATTTAGAAATTAAATACCCTGATGATTATATAATTTTTGAGTCACTCATGATGAAAGTGGAACGACTACAATTTTTTTATAAATTTGTTTATTTGTACTTTTGAAAATATTTTAAAAATTTATAAAAATATGAAATTAATAAGAAATGAGGCATATTTTGAATGTCTAAATTTACGAGTGAATTACTAATTTATTTTAAGAAGGCAGGGGTTAAAATAATTAAGTTAGTAGAAATATTTGTTAGTAATTTTTAGTAATTTTGAGAATATTATATTTTAATATTTATAGTAATTTATGGAAGTAATTTTCTCTTATGGTGTTCCGCGTTTCTAATACGTATTTAGTTCTAGCTATTTTGGGAGAGTAGATTAGGGGTGTGGGTATCGATTATTGATAAGCTATTGATATCATGTCGAAAGCTAACGCGATATCATCGATAATATCGTTAAAACATTGGTGGGTCAATTACAATAATTGAGGCAAGAACGTAATCCATGATTTTATACACAAATACATTTATTCTTATTTTAAGAATTAATTAGAAAATATTCTTATTTTATTCTTCACTTAACATGAATTTTATTATTAAAATTTGTGTATGAAAAAATTTATCTTGTTATTTAATATGATTAATCTCGTTTGACTATCAAATTTACCCTAACCTAACTTTATTATTAAAGTCATATTTATGTTTGACTATCAAATTTAATCTAATTTATCCCAACCTAACCACAAGTTCATTATTTAAATATATTTATGCCAGTTTCAGCATCAAAGTCAATTTAATCTAATCTAATTTAACCCGACCTAGCCTCAATTTCGTCATTCAAATATACTTGCTGTCGTTTGATCATCAAATGTAACGTAATCTAATCAGTTCAACCTAACTTAACCTCACTTTTAGCATTCGAATATATTTACTCTCATGAAGATTTAATTTCAAATGTATTTATTCTCGTGATAAAATTTGACCTAAATGAACCTAACTTGCATTCTAGCATTTAAATACATTTATTTTTGTTTCACAATGGGGTTAACAGCAAATCTAATTTAACGTGAATTATTGAAATTCAATTTAGTTTAACCTGAAGTGACCTTAGACAGAAATAATTTAATCTGAGTGACAGGATTAGAGGTTAGGTTTGGTTAGGTTTTTACGAACAAGGAATCTAAAGACATTCATAAAAATATGTGATTTTATAAATTATTTATTTATTCAATTTGAAATATTACTGTAATTGTAATTCAAATAATTTCAGACTTAATTTATCAAGTTTTGTTCTTTAAATCTAGTTATTTTTAAATCATTAATTGTAGCTTAACCTAACCTTAAATACTAATTAAAATTATTAGTAATTAAGTACTAAGTAATAGGTGAATTTTAATAATTAGACCAGATATCAAGTTTAATTAATTTCCGCGAGTAGAAATCTAACCTAACTTAATGCTTAATTTTAAATTTAAATATTTTTGTTTAAACTTAAACTTTCACCATAATTTAACTTAATTTCAAGTCGAATCTAATATACAATTTTATTACTCGAATTTATTTAAACTTGTTCAAATTTAATTTAATCTAACCTTTAACAAAAATAATTAACATTCACAAAATTTTATTATTCAAATTTATTTAATGTTGTTCAAATTTAGTTTAATCTGACCTCTAACAAAAATAATTAACATTAATCCAATATAATTATTCAAGTTTATTCAATGTTGTTCAAATTTAATTTAATCTAACCTTTAACAAAAATAATTAACTTTGACCCTTGATGGTAAATAAGGTTAGGTTTTCTCTCGTAAAACCAGTTCTATAATAATTTAGCAAGTAATATTACTAATTAAATTTATTTATTCATGCTAGAATTTTAAAATTATTCTAAGCTACTTCAATCTCAAGTAACAATATTTCAATTCCATTACTAAAATTCACAAATTGTGTGAGATTAGCTATTAAGGCTTTCGTGTGTAGCATATGTAAGGTTAGATTATTTCTTGACTCCATTTTAACTTCAACTTTTAAAAATACCACCATATTAAATAATCACTGCTCTCAAAGAAAGAGTTGTTCAAACAACTCTTTCATACCAACTTCAACGATAATTCTAAAAATATCATTCATCAAATGAAACAACAAAAGAACATAAAAGCATATTCATTTAACGCGCGAAATTTCGAATATCACAGATGTAAATAAGCACGACGTATTTAAAATAACAATATAAGTACAGAAGCAGATTTTTGTCGAATAACAATAAATGCATTCTTTGTGTATTCACATTATTTATCCGTTTATGCTTCCATCACCATATCGTGAAATATCGAGAAATCTCATATTTCAATGAACGAACGAATCCGTTCGCAATTATAAACGTTCGTAACAAAAATGTTGACGGAAAAATAAACGTACGCCTGCTACAAACGTAAAATATATTTTTATCTGTGAAGAACGCACATCAGCCGTTGCCACCTTTCTACGCACAACATGTAATTAATTGCGGCATTTTTAACCGAATATTCGTATCCATCTTCTCTTCGTACAGCTGCCAGGAAAATACGAAAAACTCTTCACGGTTTTTACTGTTTACGCTGAAGCTAACATCACGCATCGTGCGTTTAAATTTGAACCGGTATTTTTCAAAATTTCACCGCCCTTATCTCATTTTTAGCAACGTTTTTCTACATTTATCTGTTTGTATGATTCACTGTAGTATTTAGCGAGGTTTATATTCTTTAAATTTTATTGCTTAGAAAAACTAGTTTTATTTTGTTTTTGGCACTTTTCTTAGAATTTTTTGGTGAGGGGTTGGTTTGAAGATATTTTAGTTTCCAGAGTTAAAGTTTTGGTGCATTTAGGTAATTTCTTATTTAGTATTTTTAATAGGTGGTATAGAAAAAGAGTGGAAATTTAAGAATTTTTAATGAATTTAAGGATTTTGAAATTCTGAAATTTTTAATTTTTTACAATTTGATGTTTCAAAATTTAAGAATTTTCAAGGTAGCAATTTTTCTGCCAAATTATAAAATTTGTAGATTGCTAAATTACCAAATTACCTAATATTCAAATTATCAAATTTCTAGAGTGCCAAATTTCTAAACTTTTAAACTTGCAAATTTCCTTATTCTCACATCCAACTTTTCAATTTTCAAATTTTTAAATTTCAAATTCTCAAACCTCAAAATTTACCAAATTCTAACATTCCTAAATTCCTGAATTCCTAAATTCCTAAATTCCTAAATTCCTAAATTCCTAATTTCCTAAATTCCCGAATTCCCAAATTCCCAAATTCCCAAATTCCCAAATTCCCAAATTCCCAAATTCCCAAATAACTAGATTTCAAAATTGTCAAATTCCTAAACCCCCAAATTCTAAATTCCTAAAATTCTCAAAATTCTCAATATTCTAAAAATTCCAAAATTCCTAAAATTCTCAAAATTCCAAAATTCCAAAATTCCAAAATTCTCAAAATTACCAAAATTTGTAATTGCCCAAATTCCAATATTCCCATATTCCTAAATTCCTTAATTTCAATGTTCCCACATTCCTAAATTCCCAGATTCCCAAGTTTCCAAATTCTAATATTTCAAAATTACCAAATCTAAAAATTCTCAATTTTCCAAATTCGCAAATCTCCCAATTTCCAAATTTTTTGAATTTCTCAAATTATCAAGTTCACACCCTCAAATTCACAAACTCTCTGTAACAAAATTTAGCTGAGATCATTAGTAGAGTTTCTTTGTACAACTTATAGTATAGTTTATTAGTACTGTTCACAGCATAGTTTATTAGTACAGTCGATGGCACAGTCTTGTTAGTACATGTTAT